CAGGCCCTGTGACCTGCTCTCTGCACACCTTTTCCCCGCAGGCTTCATCAAGGTTCTGCTCTATCTGGCTTTCATGACCATCATGATCAAGGTGCACACCTTCCCTCTGTTTGCCATCAGGCCTATGTACCTGGCCATGAGGTGAGCCCAGCTGAGCCAGGCCCTGCCACACCCCTAACCCCTATTTGATCCCTCCCCTTCCTCTCCCAACTTTCACTGAAACTGTCCTTTCAGGCAGTTCAAGAAAGCTGTGACAGACGCCATCATGTCTCGCCGAGCTATCCGCAACATGAACACGCTGTAAGTGGGCCTGGCCTAGGTGCTCTCCTAAGCTCTGCCCCAGCTCTGGGCCTCCAGCCTCCAGCTCTGGGCCTCCAGCCTCCAGCTCTGGTCCCGACACGTCTTGGCCTGTTCTAACCAGGTACCCAGATGCCACCCCAGAGGAACTCCAGGCAATGGACAATGTATGCATCATCTGTCGAGAAGAGATGGTGACTGGTGCCAAGAAACTGCCCTGCAACCATATTTTCCATACCAGGTGGGAGGAGCCCTGGGGAGTCTGCGCATCAGGGGACAGGTTCTGGGGGGCAGGTCCCTAGGGACCTGCTAATCATTGTCTGGTCTTAACCCCCAGCTGCCTGCGCTCCTGGTTCCAGCGGCAGCAGACCTGCCCTACTTGCCGTATGGATGTCCTTCGTGCATCGCTGCCAACCCAATCACCACCACCCCCTGAACCTGCACAGCATCTCCTGCCCCAGCCCCCCAACTGTGAGTGACCCCTCATTTGGCCATTTGACACTGTCTAGTACTTGCCTTGGGCTGGGTATGGGAAATCAGAATCCCTGCCCACTAGAAGCTCAGTCTGGGTGTGGTGATGGGGAGGTCATGGGAGGAGACATAGATGGTTGCAGTCATGTGTAGTCAGTGCTGAGCTCAGAGAGGACCTGTGGGAGCAGAGGACATAGCTCCCAACAAGCAGCGCCTTGCCTGTGATTTGGACTTTTTCTCATTACCTCCTGTCCTCTCTCTGCAGTCCCCCAGGGCCTCCTACCTCCCTTTCCACCAGGCATGTTCCCTCTGTGGCCCCCCATGGGCCCCTTTCCACCCGTTCCACCTCCTCCCAGCTCAGGAGAGGCTGCGGCCCCTCCATCCACCAGCGCAGGTGAGCCCTTTGGGTACTGCACCAACCAGGGGGGCGGGAGTAGTGGAAGCAGAGGCCCCTCAACACTCACCGACTTCCTGTTCTTGCTCTTTAGCAGCCCTTTCTCGGCCCAGTGGAGCAGCCACAACCACAGCTGCTTCTGCTGCCTCTGCCCCGGCACCTGGCTCTGCCCCCACCTCCGAGGCCGCTCCCACCCCGGGCTTCCCCTTCCCCCCTCCCTGGATGGGTATGCCGCTGCCGCCACCCTTTGGTAAACAGGGACTCTCGGGGTTGTTCTGGTGGGTGGGGGGTGTCAGGCTCAGGCAACCCAGGCTGAGCCTCTCTCTCTCTCCAGCCTTCCCCCCAATGCCTGTGCCCCCTGCCGGCTTTGCTGGGCTGACCCCAGAGGAGCTGCGGGCTCTGGAAGGCCACGAGCGGCAGCACCTGGAGGCTCGGCTGCAGAGCCTGCGCAACATCCACACGCTGCTAGATGCTGCCATGCTGCAGATCAACCAGTACCTCACTGTACTCGCCTCCTTGGGGTATGTCTGCACAGGGAGCCAGGGCGGGCAGCAGAGGCATGGAGCTGCCAGAAGGCTCCCAGGAGTGGTTTTTGCCCTTTTTCTCGTGCCATCCTGAGATGCCTGTTGATCCAGGCCACCTATCTGTAGGCACTCTTGGTGCCTTTTTATCCTCCACTGCAGAAGGCCTGTCTGGATCTCAGTACAGTAGAAGTGTGGATTATTAGAGAGCTGACTTTGAATCTTCTTACTTTATCTTTTCCTCAAGTCAAATTTCTCACAATTCTCAGTGTTTTAGTTTATTACCTGTACCCTCCTGATATATGGTGACACTGTGACTGGGGATCAGTGTCCCTGATCTGAGACAGCAAATAAAGTCAGTCACTTGGAGGCAGCCCGGCTCGCGGTCAAGTCCTGGTGCCAACACTTAGGTGCTTTGTGGCCACCATTACCTTATTTGAATGGAAGAGGATCTCATTCCTGTTCACAGGTCAAATGTACGAAGTGCCTGGCACCCAACAGTGACAGCACAGGTGTGGAGGGGCGCTGAGACCGAGTGCTCTGTTGGATTCAGTGGGAGGTCTTAGTTGGTACCGTATAAGGTACCCAGGGTGGAGACTGCAGTGTAAGTGAACAGGCCTTCAGTCCTGCCTGCAAGTGGTTTCTAATTACTCTCATGTAGTCACAAGAATTCCTGCATGTGGTCACTCATGTCTTGTGGTCACTGAGCTGCAGAGGCACGTCAGGCAGGACTCTATTTTATGTATTTTTATTGATTTCAGAGAGGAAGGAAGAGGGAGAGATAGAAACAGCAATGAGAGAGAACCATTGATTGGCCGCCTCTTGCATGCCCCCCCCCCCCACACACACACTGGAGCCAACAACCCAGGCATGTGCCCTTGACCAGAATCGAACACAGGACCCTTCAGTCTGCAGGCCGACCCTCTATCCGCTGAGCCAAACCGGCCAGGGCAGTGCTGGACTCTTATTTTGCAAGGCTTGCCAAGGACAGGATAATCTGCCCAGTCATACCAGGATGCCAAAGCTGGGCTTACCTCTGTCCCTTCTCTTCCTAGGCCCCCCCGGCCGGCCACCTCAGTCAACTCCACTGAGGAGACTGCCCCTACAGTTGCTGCTGCCTCCTCCACCAGCATCCCCAGCTCTGAGACCACCACCCCATCCACAGGAGCTTCCCCACCAACCCCAGAATCTGAAAAGCCTTCAGGTAATTGTGGTCAGCCTACAGGGGGGTAGGGCAAGGGATTCCTCTGTGTTCCACTTCTCACCTCTCTGTCCTCAGGTCCTGAGCCAGTGGGCACCGAGGAGCTGCCTGAGGATGGGGAGCCTGATGCAGCAGAGCTCCGCCGCCGCCGCCTGCAGAAGTTGGAGTCCCCCGTTGCCCACTGACACTGCTCCAGTCCTGGCCCCTGCTCCCTCTCTGGAGCAGCCCTTGCTGGAACATGTCCTGCCACCAAGTGCCAGCTCCCTCTCTGTACCAGGGAGTAGTAACCCCCACATCTGAGACAAAGGAGGTGGCATCCCCTAGGCCAAGTGGAAAGAGGCCTAAGGCCCCAGTTGACTCCAGCCCTTACAGTCCTTGGGCAGCCAAGGGGATCTTGAGTCAGTTCCAGCCTTCTCCAACCCTTCAGCCCTGTGTTTTGTTGGAGCCATGAAGGCAGAACAGCACAGCCTCTAAGAAGCCCTCTGACCCCTCCCCCTTTCTGGGAGAAGGGGCAGCCCTCTGAGCCCACTTGGCGTGTGTGGAGTCACACTGCAGTACCGAACAGTATTAGCTCCCATTCCTAAGTGCGGACTCAAGGGTCTGGGGGCAGGCCAGGAACTTGCTCCCTGGCCCACCAAGACTGGTACCGGTGTCCATTTTTTACCCTAAACTCCCTGGAAGCCCTTTGTGGTGGTGGCTGTGTCCCTTACGCCCTGTGACATTTCCATGTCTTACTGGCAACCACACAACTCAGGGAAAGGAGTGCCTGGGGGCAGAGCAGCAGGAGGGCAGCACCGAGGGACACTGCCTACAAGGCCCCTCTCCCTGTAGCTTGTCTAAAGTGAGACTGTCCCTGCTCTCACCCAGCAGCCACTGCCCAGCCTCACTCCAGGCTGAGGGCTTGTGTGTCTGCTCCGGAACCACTGCAAGCCCCAGAATCTACGGAAGGCCACTTCTCAACTTACAGAACTTGTCTTAAGTTTAAAGAATTGGAGTAACTTCCTTGTATTTTCTTTGGCTTAAAATCTGTCTTTGGATTTGAATGCTTGACCCCAGGGAAGAGGAGCAGGAGTGCCAGACTCCTGGTCTTTCCAATTTAGAAAAGGCTCTGGGCAGGTAGGGAACACAGGAGCCAAGGCCTGCCTGTCCCTGTCTTTTCCCCCTTGGTTTTGTGTTAAGTGAGTTGCTGGAGAGTTTCAGATGATTATTTAATTTGTAAATATTGTACAAATTTTAATAGCTTGAATTGTATATACAGCCAAATAAAAGCTTGCATTAACAATTGGTAGAGCTGGTGTCAGCATCAGTGAGCTGGGCTCCATTTTCTTGCTCAGGCTGTAGACTTGAGAGTGGCCTGGAATCTTCTGGGATGAGGGTTTATTTATACAACCTAGCACTGTCCTTGGGCACATTGTTATTAAACTATTAGGAAGATATACCCATATTACATAAGAAAAAACTGAGCTCTAAAAAGATTACCCTGCTTTAGCCCAGAGGGAGCTAGGCTCTGAACCCTGACCTAGCCAGTCTGACACTGGGGTGGGGATGGGCTTTTGGCCCTCATGACAGGACAAGTGTGAAGGTTCATTGGATGGGGATGGCAGGGGCAAAAGGCCAGCATCTTCGTGCCTGCAAACCCCGTCCAGCCTTGATACCAGGTCATCAAGCTGGGAAGCACGCCATGTGCTGGGCTAAGAGCTCCCAAGCACCCCCTTGTGGGCAGATCAGCTACAGGGAATCACTAATTACTGGAGCTGGAAACCCAATCAGGCCTAACTCTGGAATAGAGCAGAGGTGAGTGAGCCTTCTGCCTCACCATGGGTAGAAAAGATGAGCTCAGGGACTGACAAGGGCACGCTGTGCCCCATGCCCAGCACTGCACATGTAATTGAAGGCTTCCAGGACCCATGTTAGTCATCTGTGTTCTCCGTAGCCTCCACAAGCCAGGTCTGGCTAGAGCAGCGGTTCTCAACCTGTGGGTCTCGACCCCTTTGGCGGTCGAACGACCCTTTCACAAGGGTCGTTATATATCTGATATGCAAGACCATCCTGCATATCAGATATTTACATTACGATTCATAACAGCAACATTACAGTTATGAAGTAGCAACAAAAATAATTTTATGTTTGGGTCACAACATGAGGAACTGTATTTAAAGGGCCAGAAGGTTGAGAACCACTGGGCTAGAGGAAGAGCTTGGGAATGTTTGCAGCAGGAAGTCTAAGGACCAAGGAAGGTTCTGTCCCAATGATTCTGTCATGTGCTATCCTCCCCGAAACACCAGAGGGGCAGTCAACAACCTCCAGAATTTGAATAACTGACCCCAGTAGCTCCAATGAAGAAAAAGCAGGAATAGACCAAAATCAGGGGCAGGGGGACAGCAACTAATGCCCCCCACTAGCTCAGCTGTTTCTAGTGGGTCTCCAATGTAAGACAGCCCTCCCTCAGTGCTGGCATCTGTGCAGATGGTCCTGTTTCCCCCTTTATGGAAGCAAGGTCTGCTCCAAAGCCCTCACTCTACCTTGCCCAAGCCCTCAGCCCTAGTCTGTACCCCAATCCTAGTTGCTTCAACACCCGCCTCCCTCCTGAGGTCCCCTGGACTCCAGTCTGTGGGGGATGCTGTCATGCAGGCTGCTCAGCTAGGCCTCAGAAGCCCTTCTCTAAGAGCCAGGTTTTTAGCTGCTGGTCAAAGTAGCCCTTGATCCGCAGGGTACCTGTCACCTCATTGACCTGGGTGATAGGTGTCTTCCCCAGCAGTGGGCTCAGAAAGTCTTCCACATCCTTCTGCAGGGCCTGGGGGAAGATGACAAATCAGGCCTGGTCAGGAGACCCGTCACCTCTAGAGGACTCCCATCCCTTCAGCCCTGAAAAGGCCACACTCAGACCCTGACCCACCCACACACTTACCCAAATGTCTCCCTCCACCTTCCGGATCACAGTCATCTGACGGTTGCCATGTGTGATGTCTTTATAGACAGGGATGTTGTGCATCCGAGAGCGCCGCACAAAGTAAGGCAGGTTGGGTGGAGGATCTGGGACAGGGAGGGATGGTGATAAGCCAAGTCTTCCCAGGCTTCATCCCACCTCCGTCAAGGCCTTGCTCCTCAGAGTCTGCAGAGGTCTACGGCAAAGCCATCTCCAGACTTCAGGTCAGGAGACCTGCTCTTTCCCTAAGTTTAGAGCCAGGACTCTAGTAGCCCAAGGCCCAGACAGGGCCTGGCACCGGAAGGTGCTCAAGAAGAAATTAAGTGAGGGCCATGCCTCCCTGGATATTCAGGTTCCCCTGTGAGACCAATCCTTGCCCTTCTCCTCGGGGTCAGGGAGACTAATATGAATCTCTGGCACAAAGGCATGGAGATTTACAAGTACTGAACACCACCACATGCTGGGCTCTGCACTAAGTGCTCTACGGTGCCGGGCGGATTATCTCCATTTTACTGAGACTGAGGTTGGGAGAAGCTGACCCAGAACTGCCCAACTCCCAAGCTGAGTTCTCAATTATGGTACATGGACTACTGCGGGTGGGGTAGGGTGGGGGGAGACGGAGTCCAAGCTCTTGGGTCTTCTCTCTATGCTTCTTTTCCTGCATGGGAAGACTTATCCCAGTAGTGTGAATGGATGGTTACTTGTGAAACAGGGCTCCATTCCTGGGCCCTTCCTTGAACATGAAACAGGTACTAGTCCTCAAAACAAGTCCTGAAACCACTGAGTTCAGTGGCAGCTGGGGCAGGCCAACCACCAAGGAGGGGTACTTCCCTGTCGCCTTCAAGCCATCCCCATGATCTAGCTCACCTCTGGGGGGCTGCCAGCCGCTAGGAGTAGGATAATGTTCATGCTTCGGGGGCTCCGGAACGCTGGTGGGGGGTATCAGGCGTTCCACAAACTGGTATTCATCCACAGACTCCACGAAGCGGGGGTAATTGGGAGGCCCCTGGGTCTGGCTCTGAGGCAAAAACAAAAAGCAACCATCAGCGTACTCACCACCCACCCACCACAACAGAACTTCAGTAAGTAGTGAAAGGAAACATTACAGGTAGAGAGAACGGTATAAATGAGTGGCTGGAGACAGGAAAGCACCAGACTTCAGTCTGTCGGGGTGCACGTGGGCCTGGAAAAGACCTTCAAGCATTCTGAAGGCCTGCCTCTCCTGCCTCAGTCCCTCCTGGGACCCAAATAACAAGACAATTAACTGGAAAGCTGAGCAATGTAGCATAATTCAGTATTGAAAGTTTCTTTTAAATATTCTACTGAAATATTCTAGTTCTGGGTTAGGCACTTTCAACAACCCTGATAGTTTTCCATTCACACTCACCCCACGTGATCCTCCTTTACCTGGAAGGTTTCAGCCTCATACACACACGGCCAGGCATCATACTAAGTGCTCTACAGGTGTTGTTTTCATTTAATTCTTATAACTCGGCGTATTTTATCACACACTTTTTTTTAAATCTAATTTCAAAAATATATATATTTTATTGGTTTTTTACAGAGAGGAAGGGAGAGGGATAGAGAGTTAGAAACATCGTTGAGAGAGAAACATTGATCAGCTGCCTCCTGCACACTCCCTACTGGGGATGTGCCCGCAACCAAGGTACATGCCCTTGACCGGAATCGAACCCGGGACCCTTCAGTCCGCAGGCCGACGCTCTATCCACTGAGCCAAACCGGTTAGAGCTATCACACCCATTTTTAATCCAAGGAAGATCAAGACATTCAGTAATCTACCCTAAGGTCACACTCCAAATTCTGTCTTCCCATCCTGCAGCTTTAAGATCCTTTTTGGACACATCCCGACAGATACCCCGGAGTCCTGACAGGCGCCGGGGTGACAATGAGGCCAGGGAAGCAGGGTGCAGTGGCCTGTATGTCATGAGCTCTAGGTTCCCAGTAGTGCCGCCAATGATGGGGCCGCTCTGTGAACCCGTTGGTTTCCCCTTGAAAGAGTTAGGCAGCGAGAGTCGGTGCGCAGCCCCGCCCAGTGCCGACTCACCGAGGTTGTCCTCCAATCAGGTTCTAACCCCCACCCCCGGAAGCGCGCACCAGGTCCTGTCACCTTCCTTCTCAATCTTGCGTCTCAGCTACAGAAAAGGTCTCCCACATCAGATGGGAAAACTAAGGCCCCAACGGGAATGCGATTTTCAGGGTTAAAAGGAAGAACAGCGAGCCTCACACTCAGCCCTCTGCCCCCCGCTCCACGCTCAGTACTCTCACCAGCCGCCGCAATGCGCCGCCCGGCTGCACGCCGACCCTCCAGCGCCGCAGCAAAGCCGGGAACACGGCCGCAGCCATCTTGAACTCCCCCAGCTTTAGCTTCCTGCGCGCGCAACCCGCCTAGTCCAACGCTTCCTGCGCACGCCCCGCGAGACCGGAAGAAGGCCTACGCGAGCGTCAAGGGGCGGGGTTACGATGCCGTGGGCGGCACAAATAGCCGAGGTTCTCGTCGGCGCGCAGCAGTGACGTTAGACGCAGCAAGCGCTTAGGACGCGTACGCTCCTCTTCCTTCCTCTTTCTCGACTCCATCTTCGCGGGAGCGGCACAGGCCGCAGTTCAGGTAGAGTTGGGGGCACGGCTGAGTCCCGAGGGCTTCCTAGCAGGTTGGCTGCGAGGTCAGAGGGCGCGGGAAGAACAGAGGAGGAGAGGCTGCTGTGTGGGCCGGGTTCTTGTCCCCACCCGACCTCCCTGGCAGGCGGGCAGGCCGGCCGGCCCTGTCTTACCCACGTGAGACCTGCGATCGTCCCCGGATCGCCACCGATTTCACGACGCCCGCTCTCCCAGAATATTCCTTCTCTCACAAGCGTTCCTTTTCCTCAGTCGCCGACATGCAGCTGTTTGTCCGCGCCCAGGAGCTCCACACCCTCGAGGTGACCGGCCGGGAGACGGTCTCCCAGATCAAGGTAAGGCTGCGGGGTGCGCCTCGGGCGCCGTATTCTTGTGCTCTTTGACCTCGCTCCCTGCGGGAACGCTCATGAGCCTCATTTTTGCTTGTAGGCCCATGTAGCCTCGCTGGAGGGCATCGCTCCGGAAGATCAAGTCGTGCTCCTGGCGGGCACACCCCTGGAGGATGAGGCTACCCTGGGCCAGTGTGGGGTGGAGGCGCTGTCCACTCTGGAAGTAGCCGCCCGCATGCTTGGAGGTGAGTTGGGGAGGACTGTCCTTTGCTTGTAAGCACATAATGAGATCAGTGTCCTTAATCCAGGGTGGTTCTTCCTGTTTACCTCAGGATTAACTCCTTTTATTTGTTTTGTTATCCTCACCCCAGGATATTTTTTCCATTGGTTTTCAGGAGAGTGGGAGGGAGGTGGGGAGGGGGAGAGAGAGAGAGAAACATTGATGTGAGAAAGACACATCCATTGGTTGCCTCCCACATCCGCCCCACTGTGCCAGGGATGGAACCTGCAACCCAGGTACATGCTCTTGACCAGGAATTGAACCAGTGACCCTTCTGTGTGCAGGCTTGGCACTAACCACTGAGCATGCCAGCCAGGGCAGAATTAACTCCTTTTTAAAAATACTTTATTGTTGAAAGTATTACACATGTCTCCTCCCCCCCCACATTGATCTCTCCCTGCCTGCTTCCCACCTCCCCGCCCCAGCACATGTCCCTGCCCCCCTACTATCTCTGTCCTTTGGCAGAATTAACTCTTGAGAGGTCCCTGGAAGACTGAACTAGAGTGTAGTTCTATTTCAGTCACTTACTAGATCTTTGCCTATTTCCCAGTTTCCTCATTAAAATTAGGAGGTTAGACCAGATCCCCAAGGTGCTGTTCAGTTCTTACTTAAAGTCAAGGGGCTAGAAAATCCTGAAGTGAAACCTAGAACATGCCAGGCTAATTCCTGGTCAGATGTCAAATCTCTGCAATTTTGTTCTCATTTCCTGTTGAGCCCAGCTCACCTTTAAAGGCTTGAGTTGAGGAAGAAAGAATTCTGCTGGGTGGGGCCTTCTTGCTACTAACCGCTTGCTGTCCTTTTCCACCACAGGTAAAGTCCATGGTTCTCTGGCCCGTGCTGGGAAAGTAAGAGGTCAGACCCCCAAGGTAAGTGCAGTATTAGTGGTGTCCTTTGGACTTAGTTTTTTACTATCACAGATAAGCTAAGACCCTTGGCTTTTGACCAGTCTTCTCCCTCCCTGGAAATGAACCTGAGGGAAGAGATGGAAGATGTCAACCAGGGTCTGATCAGCCTTCCCTTTCCCAGGTGGCCAAACAGGAGAAAAAGAAGAAGAAGACTGGTCGGGCCAAGCGACGGATGCAGTACAACCGGCGTTTTGTCAATGTTGTGCCCACCTTTGGCAAGAAGAAGGGCCCCAATGCCAACTCTTAAAGTCCTTTGTCATCTGGTTTTCTCTAATAAAGCCACTTAGCCCAGTCATCTTGTTTCATCTTAATTTGCAGGGCCTCAGGGTGAGAGGAGGCTTCTAGGGCTGGTGGTATGTCCACTGGAACAGTGAGGTCTCATTTTGGTTTCTTGATATTGTCAAGTGAGGCAGAGGCCCTTGATGGGTAGAGGGGGTGAGAGGGAGGTGGTAAACTACAAGAAAAGGCTTCCCATGAAAACGTGCCAGTCCTTCCTTTAAATGGAGAATTGGGGAAATTTCTGATCCCAAATAACTTGATAATTCCCCCAAATCCTCTCTTTTTTTTTTCTTTTTGGTTTTTGTTTTGTTCTTATTCTTTTAAACAGAAGATAGGAATCGTTGTGGGTGTTTTATAGAGGCAGCAATGGAAGGGGAGGAGTTCTAGGAGAAAAAAATGTCAGGGAATGCCAATCTGGCCTTTTCCTGAACTTGGACCAGCTGTGGCCTTAGTGGGGCTCAGTGCAGAAGTTTGGTTTGCCCAGCTTTGGAAAGTATCCTGATTATATTGGCACTGTGGTGACCTTGTTTGTACTTCTGATTGCATGACTGGTCTTGCTAACCTAATCAGAACTCAGGCTGGTCAGTTGATTGTTTCACTGTTCCCAAAAGTTGAGTTCTCTTGAACTGATACAAGGTTTCCTGCTAGCAACACATGCATACCCACACATTTATTCTAAGGTTTTTTAACCTGCCGCTTCTTAGAATAAAGCCCATAGGATAAAGAGAGACCTTGGGCTCTAGACTTAGACTGCCTTGAGTTTCGATCCTTGCTCCATTTATAATCTATACATATAAAAGCCTAAGTGACCTTTATGATGGAATGACTGCAACAACTGGTTGCTATGATGTGCACTGACCACCAGGGGCAGATGCTCAATGAAGAAGCTTCCCCCAGCCCACAGGCCCCCACAGTTCCCCTGCTGGCCAAACCCCCAGTCCCTCCCCCTGGCTGGCAGGCCCCCATCACCAGATCGTGGCTGGGCCCCTGGGCTGGAACGGGGAACTGAGGGTGGGTGGCAAGAGAATGGGGAGGCAGGGAACCTAGGGACCCTACCTGTGCATGAATTTCGAGCACGTGGCCTCTAGTTATTTAATATCTGGCCAGGTAGCTCAGCATTGTCCCAATATGCCAAGGTTGCAGGTTTGATCCCTGGTCAGGACACATAGAAGAAAGGAAACTAAAGTGTTAATAAACTTAAAGTAAGTGTAATGAAGGGGGTTGGGTAAACACATAATGCCAAGGTTGCAGGTTTGATCCCTGGTCAGGACACAGAAGAAAGTGAGGAAACTAAAGTGTTAATAAACTTTAAGTGTAATGAAGGGGGTTGGGTAAACACATGCTATCCTAGTTAATCAGATGGTAAGATGGTTAAAGTTCTAGCGGACAGAACCGCAGTCAGACATGGAGTGGAGTTTAGGTCCAGGTACAGTGGAGAGTCATCAAGGGCCCGGCTGGGTTTTCAGCAAGGGCCTGATGTGATCTGACTTGTGACCTAACATTTCAACTGGCTGATTTTTCTGGAGGGCTGGCAAGAAAGTTAAGGTGGTATCATCCACTTGATTGGCAAGGAACTTAGAGCACCAGTGGTGGTGGAGGAGATGTAAAAAAATGAACAGGCTTGATTGTCTCACTGCTTCACTCATCAACTCACTTTAAACAGACTTGAAGGTCATCAAACCCATCTCGATCTTGGTAGAGAAACATGATCGATATTGAAATAAGTACAAGGTATTTTGAAGGCAGAACTGACTGTAGCTGGGATTGGATGTGCAAGATGAGGGACTAAAGAACCAGAGCTTACTATCAGGGGTGCCCTGGACCAACTCCCCACTCTACCACAAACTGTAAGCTCCATTATGATAGGGCCGCATCTCTGCTCAACGTGGTCCACTTTAACGGTGGATGAACGATAGGTTTGGAGGAGGAAATCAAACAGGAGCTCAGATGTTTGTTAAATATTGCTTTGTTTTGAAGAGGGAAAATGCCGCCAACACACACCCAGTCTAGGCGAGGTACCCCACCTTGGCCTTTCCACTCTCTCCCCTTTGTCCTCTATATGGCTGTATAGTATAATGGCTGTCCCTACAGCGCAGGGACCCGGCACAATTAACGGCCCAGAGGAGGTGCGTGGCAAAGACCTACTTCTGCCTCTGCGCTTTGCAGCGCCAAGCAGCCGCGCTGGGGCTGGTACCGCGCTCCCACCTCACC